GCGGATGGGCCCGCCGCCGCGCGCAAGGCAGGCTGGGCTTTGTAGTCCTCAGCGGCCGCCCCCCTCGCTAGGGCCGGCGCGGCCGCCCGCCCTCCGAACTACAGGTCCCGGCGTGCGCGGAAGGTGCGGGGCGGAGGCGGCGAGAGCTGGTTTCTGGGGCCCGCCCGACAGGCGGGCGGCGCGACGGGCCGGGCGCGGGCTGAGGGGCTTGGCGGCGCGGGGGGTGCCGTGGGGCGGGGGTAGGGAGCGGCGGGGTCTTCTCGCTGATTCCTCCCGCTTGGGGCCCGCAGTGAGTCCCCTCCTCTCGTCCAGGGAGGGAGCCCCTGTGCGGCGGCGTGTTTTGGGGGGGAGGGTTGTGCGGTACGGGCGGCCCCAGGAGGCCGCGCCGTGAGGGGACCCCGGGGCGGCTCGGCTGGGCCTGGCCCCCGGTGAGGCCGAGGCCTGGGTTGATGCGGTTGCACGGATCAGGGACGTAGACAGACAACGGCGATGCGATTCGGTCAGCGCAGCGGCAAGCTAACCGATTTTTTTTAAACCGAAGAAGGTTTAATAACACGTGGCAATAATGGTACCTAACTCCTGGCTGCAGCTTTTCACCTGCAGCCCTTAAAGAGTGCAGAAAGGAAGGATTACTGTTCATGACAGGTGGGGCATCCCAGGTAGGTTAGGTTGGTATATTAGCCAGAAGCATAACCTAGGTCTTGGTATGAGAGAATAAGAAATTATTTTTGCAATGGCATTGTCAGTGGACATGAACAAAACTGTACATATCAAGATCAGGGAAGAGGGCAATGCTGTAACCAAGATATGAAATGCTGAGAGTCAAGGTGAAAGGACTGGATAGGAAATGCTGTATATGCAAGGTGTTAGGCAAAAGGAATCAGCCGGGTATTAAGTGTAGGCTGGAGGAGATGCCTACCAAAAGCTCTGTATTGAAAACGAAGTTTTCAAGGTTATTGACCCAACCTGAAAGTGAGATGGCAATGTTGCCTGTAGCAGCCTTACAGCTTTTAAAAAAACAGCAAGTTCTTGAATTTTCACAAATTATATGCATTTAATAGCGGTATAACCAAGTGGCCCAGTTTTTATATCCTCACAGCTTAGGAATGTAACAGTTTGTGCTCATTTCTTATAAAGGAAAGGATAAGAAAGGAAAACTGTGTTTCCAGAAGGGGAAGGTGGTTTAGGACATTGAAGAAAGATAGAAAAAAGAATCACAGAAGGGGAGGAGGGGAGCTGATGTGATTGTTCCCTCCCAAGACATTAAGTCTTTGATTCTTTTGTACCTGTCTCAGGTAGATGGTGTGCTACGATAAAAGAAATGTTGCCAAAAGAAGTGGAATGCTTGCCTTTTTGGTGCACCTAAGACATCAGTGAATAGAAATTACATTAACCCATGGCTAATATTTCTAAATGACTCAGAGGTCTTCCAGAATTTTTTTATATTTCATAACAGTACCCCTCCAATGATTAAAAGCATATATCATTTTCCTTGTGAAAGTGTTCTGGGGTCACTATGTTCTATGTCTACACAACATTCTATGCAGGTAGAATGAGACTGTAGGAAACTAGTTACATTTTTTTCTAAAAATCTGTGTCTAGGCAGTAGGCAAAATAGTAGGCTGCCCACAAATCACAGCTGAGAGATTCAAAGTTAACATCTGGCAAGTTTGGTTAGCAGTTGTCTGTGTTAAGAAAAAGATAATCAGAAAGCAGAGATGAACCCAAAGTACAAAAATAGCCCATCCACATAACTAGTATGCCGTAGGTGGTTTGCTTGGTAAATTTTCTGTGAATTTCCTGCTCATCACTCCTCCAGTATTATTTCTCCCCCTTACTAGTGCACCTTCCTTACATCCTTTCTTTATGGTAATAGCTGCCAACTCTTCACTTTATAAACAGAAATGAAGCTGACAGAGTTTTATAAAGAAGGAGTGGAAGGGAGCCTTACCTGAATTATACTAGTTTTTAAACTGGTCTTGCAGCAAGGCAAGAAAAAACTCATTAATTCTACTGAGATTACATATGCATGCATCTGGATAAGCTTTTGTTTGTTACACAACCTGTGCTACCACATCTGACTGCAAATGTGAAGATATGGCAAAGCACTGGTATTGTCTTAAGTAAGTATAAGGTATTGTCTCTCTCCTGGCTAAGTCTGGTTTCATTTTCTATTCCAAAGAAACAGAAAAAGTGCCTAATACTGTATATTTGTGAAGTTGGTGAGCCTATGGTGAATCAAGAATATAATTTGTTCTAACGCTGGATAAATAACTAAGAGTGAGGCTTAAATTGAATGCTTCTCTCACAGCATACCATCTTAGCACCATTGTTCTATCTGCTTTTCCTAATAGAGATAACTGGTGGTGGAGAGCTGCTGTATGGAAGCAAGCTACAGGGAGTGAATGTTTTCGTGCCCGTGTGTCAATAGCATTGGTAAGTAAGGAGATTACAGTGATTTGGTGAGGTCTTCCACCTCAGTTTTTTTCATTGAGGTCAGATACAAATCCTCTGACCTGGGAGACAAAGGGGAAGATGCCCTGCTTCACGGCTAGCCCCCCCTTACATCACGTGAAAGCATACATTCCTGTTAAAGACCACCTATGCTGGCTAATGAGGCAAAGAGAAGGAATGAAAATGAGGGAGAATCAGAGTCCTGTGAGCCTCCTTGTTTCCTTCCAACCCTCAGAAAATGCATTTGTTTATTTTGAGTTATGTTTTGGGTGTTTTTTGCGATCCATGAGACTGGAGTTACACTATCTGTAGTTGTTTCTGCTTGCAAAGAAAAGAAAGTTTTAATTCTGTTTCTGACATGAACTTTGAGCCAAATTTCAAATCTGGAGGGAGAGAGGTCAGCTGTGTTTGTAGGTCCAAAGATTAGATGCAAGAAATCAAGCATTTAAAGTAACAACCAAGAGATTAGGTACTCATGGATTTGTTACGCCATGTTATTCAATTATGACACAAAGATTTTCTGGCACAACTTGAAGTGTCAATATGAATACCAGAGTCTCATAGCACATACCCACAGAAGCAGGTATTAACATATTATTAATTCTTAAATTTGGTATAGTAATACCTCTCAAGTAGTTTTTTGTTTGTTTCTTTGTTTTTAAAAGAGAAAGTCACATTTAACTGGAAATGAAACCAAATCTCTCCGTTATTCGGTTAGGGTTCTCCAGCCTTCTGCCAAATGCCCACGTTAACACATTTTAGTCAACACAGGCGTATTTTGTCAAAACTTGTGGGGAATGCTGACTCAGGATATGGCAAAACCCACAAGGCATTGAACTAATTGTGCAATGCTTTATGTGGAAAAATGACTTCCTGATTCCTGCATTAGCTGCCAGTGCTTTGAAGCATGGTGTTTGAATATCTGCATTGTATACTTATCATCCCGATAAAAATATTAAACCTATAAATAGAATTTGTAATATCCACATATTTTATATATATTCAGATTTAACTATTGTATTCAGTTCCTCTTCTCCCTTTTTATACAACATTATCCCTTTCCACAAGGGATGGTTCTCATATCCTTCTAGATTCCTTAACGTTTAAAATGTCATCCACCACCTCACAGCATTCATTTCTGCTGTGAACTCCTTGTTCTGAGAGAAGCTGAGTAGAGTCCATGTAACTGGAAAATTGCGCAATGAATTTATAGCACATTGAGCTGTTCGAGCTGACTGAAATGCAAGCTTTAAACAGATAGTGAATATGGCTGTAAGTCCATAGATTTGGGAACATTTCTGCAGCTTTTTTAATCTGAGGCTTTATAAGCAACGTAGACTATTAATAGCATATTTGATTGTCTTGAAATAGATGAGGTTAATAGCAAGTTTACTCCAGGGTGTTTTGACATAATCCCAGGAAAATGCCTTTTGTTGGAAACTGTGTTGATGAAAACTAGCCACAAAATCCATTTTCTTAGAGTAGGCTGAATGGTCAGTCCTAGATCAAAAGTACGTTTATGTTTGGGAGCCAAAGATGTTTCCCATGGTGAGAATGTCTTGGAGCCTTGCAGGCAGGTAGACCCTGTCCTCCGCCTGCAGAAAGTCAGAGGGTCTGGCAGAGACCCAAAGACCCTTGGACACATACATCCCCATGGGGTTCAGCACATCAGGATTGCTAAAAGGAGTGCAGTTTATACCACTAGAAGCCAGAGGGGGCCTCTGGAGGGCTTTTATTATACCCCTGATTTTTATTCCTGTTAAAGACCACCTATGCTTTTGGCTAGCTGGCAGACTAAGAATGCAGCTGGGTTGAAAAAGTGTCAATTTAATTTCTACACAGTTGCAATGTCACATTTTTGGAGGCAAGCAAGGGGACAGGTACAGGGAATGAAGTATACAAGCGTACCACAGAACAGATCTGTATCTGTTACAGGACATTAACCATGCTAATCTACAGAAGTATACTTGAAACTCCCATTCTTTTAGGTTAACACCAAAACGTGGTTGAGCCAAGTGCTTACAGCCAACGCAGATTCAGTTCCTGGGGTGTGTGATACAGCGTATGGTGGCATTTCAGAGTTTGCCATTGTATAGAAGGCTCATAGCATTGCGGAGGGTTTATTCACTTAGGTAGATGATGTCAGAATAGACCCAAGTGGGAAGTTTTTCTATGCTCCCTTGGATAACAAGGTTAAGAAAAAAACAGTGACAATTTAAATAAATCAGATGTTTTTGCTGAAGATTATGCTGTCATTTTCTCCAATTATTCTTGACATTTCACCCATTCGTATTGTGATCTGAGTTAATAATGGAAGAAAAAACGGCTCTTGTTGCCTTGTTTATTCTTTGTTCTCAAGGAGATAAGCTGTTTATAAAGATAAGTTATTTGTTATTTAAATCACTTTTACTGAAGTTGTTTGTTTCCTTGTTTGAGTTTCTAAAAATATTGCAACAATTGTGAAGCATCTTTGAGACATCTATTCAATTCACTATGATTTGTACTGGAATTCATTCCTAAATGGGCACAGGTGTTGATAGCTGTAACATGCTAGAATGAGTCAAAACCAATAAATGCTCAATAAAGGAAAGATGAAAGAAAATGCACTGAAAACAGCTCTTCTAAGATGTGATAAATTGGCACTTTAGTTCACTGCTTAATTAGGTATGTAGCTCTGAAGATATGTCTAGAGCAACTACATATTTTAAAACAGCTGAACATGTTCGAACATAACTGTAATCACTGTTAGTATTTTCAAGATTAAAACCATTTTTTTTAAATTTAGCAGCACCATTTAGGATATAATCAACTTCTGTTAGCAAGCAATTCTATAGTGCCCTGATGTAATATTTTGCTATACTCTTTATGAAAAAAAAATAATAAAATTGAATAATAGTCTGTGAAAATTACTTGTTCACTTTTTCATGTTGAAATTTAACTCTAGAGTAAGATGCAGGAATTATGATGTTGCAAACCCAAAAGTCAGTTAAAGCATTTCCTTTGCACTTTTACCATGAGCAGGCATTTTGTTATCTCTTTCTTGCACAATGCACTCCATAGGCAACATCTTCTGAAGCCCCATCCTGACCTTTGGGTGCATTTCTGACGGGAATGGAGGGCCGGCCAGCCAGCCAGCAGGCGAGTATTACGGTTAGCGATTCCCGAGTGCCAGTGCCTTTCCGTTGGAGTGTAGGCTTTTTGTATTGTGCCTTTCTGTCAAAAGAGCTTCGTAGTCCCAGCGGAGGTGGTTGGGTAAGACATCAGGTACCTACCAAACGAGGCAGACGGTTGGCCTTCTCCCAAGGAGCTCTCAGGAGCCCCACGTGGGTGTCTGAACTGGTACTGCCAAGGACGAGACTTACTGTGTGCTAAGCACACACTGACAGTACGGGACTGAACTGGCCTCCAGGTTTTGCGTTATCTTCAGGGAAATCTGCTTTTACATTAATGTATCTTGCTGTTGCGGCTTAAATATTTGTTCATGGGCATAAAAGTGGTTGTAGTGCAGATAGGCTGTAACGCTGACCAGGAATATTTATCCTTAATATTTTACAAATATTTATCCTTAATATTTTACGGTCCATGCTTTTAAAGGTAAACAAACAACACAAGCTAGAAATCACTGACAAATGCAAGTTCAGCTGCCAAAACTCCTCAGTGATGGCCAAGCTGGCTTGAAAGCAGCTGCATGGGGTGCGGCCATGGTGCAGCACGACACAAATCATAGGCGATTTGGTCAGGCGAGCTGTTTGGAAAATGGGAGCGCGTGGATACGGCAGGCAGGTACTATAAATGGCACCAGCATGGCACTCGGTGGGTCCCTGAAGTGCGGTTTGTGCCCAGTGGCCGGGGCGGCTGCGGCCGGCTCCTCAGGGGCTGCACCACAGCCCGCGGCTCGGTTTTGGGGGCAAAGGGAGGGAGGGGAGCCGGGGACCCCCGCTGGAACGACTCGCCCAGCACGGGCGGAGGCCCGGCTCCTCCGAAGGACGGCGGTCGCTGCCCCGGCGGGACTCCATTTCCCAGCGCGCCCCGCGCCCCCGCCGCAGAGGCCGGGCCGGGAAGGGAAGATGGCGGCGCCCGTGTCGCCCTTGGTTACTGCGCGCTGCCTGCTGCGGGCTTCGGCGCGGCGCGCCCCCCGCCTGCTACCGGCGCGGGCCGCCGTCCTGCGGAGAGGTCAGTACCGCGGCGGGAGGGGGCTCGCCGGCCCAGCGCCAAGCCCTGTCCGCAGCCGGGCCAAGGGAGGGCGAGCGCCGGGCTGCTGGAGCACCCCGTAGGAAGGTGCACCGTGGGGCGGCCGCGGGAGCCG